TCTTCACCACTTAAGTACGTAATCCTCCTCCTGTCACCTGTTATCTTCTATGTATGTATGTGTGTGTGTGTGTGTGTGTGTGTGACACCAGTGAATTAGCTACCCAGGTACAAAAACAATCTCTTAGCTAGCTAGGTTAGCAGTGCGAAGTGCAAGAACAAGAGAGAGATCAAAATGCGCATGAAAAACATCTCCATTTTCACGTCTTTCTGTACTTTTCTCGTGCTCCTGATCATCGTCTCGTTTCATGTACAAACCAAAGCAGCTGATGGTGATGATCAGAATGCCGGGAGATGGAGTCAGAGCGACCGCGTTTATATCGTGTACATGGGTTCCGCAGCAGCCTCATCAACAAGTAGTGACGATCTTTCTTCCTTAAAGGATGATCATGCTCAGCTTCTCAGCTCTGTCAGAACACGGTCGGTAATTCTATTTATATTTTTAAGTATAATCAGGCTGTCGATTTAATCATGTACACGTACGTGTAACATGAAGATGAAGATATGACATAGTTGGAACTAATATGATTAACGTGTCTGTCTATCTACTAATTAAATAGGTTATCCTACTAAGTCGTAACTAGTTAAGCTGTTCGCCCTTCCTAAACTTTACTACTTTATTCTTTCGTTAAAATTTTGATTTCATATGTTTATTGTAAGAGGAAATTACTTGAAGTTGAAAGTTGACTAGTAAGGGTTATATTTGTGGGTGCAGGAAACCAAATGCAGTGGTGTACACTTACAAGCATGGTTTCTCAGGGTTTGCGGGTCGTCTCTCGAACGAAGAGGCGCGATCCATTGCTGAAAAACGTGGAGTTGTATCAGTTTTTCCCGATCCCTTATTGAAACTCCACACTACTCATTCCTGGGATTTCCTCAAGTATCAAACTGCTTTAAAAATCGACTCAAATCTTAACTCAAAAACCACGGACAGAGTTTCATCAGTTACCACCGATGGAACTGACACCATTATCGGTATTTTGGACACAGGTAACAAAATTGAGATTGTCCTTACGTTAAAATTGGAACAATACAGAGAAAATTAGCATGTTCCACGCGCAAGAATGACACACATGAATTGACTTAAGGTTCGCAGGTGATTAATAACGAAACCAAAAATTGAATCTAGGTATATGGCCAGAGTCGGAGAGTTTCAATGACAAAGATACGGGTCCGGTTCCGTCACGGTGGAAAGGAACGTGCATGAAATCCCATGATTTCAATTCCTCCAACTGTAATAGGTAATTTACTAATCATGATTTAAATGTGTTACGAAAATTGATATATTTCGTGAAATTATAGGTACTAAACAATATGTTATTTTTGCGATGAACGATCAGGAAGTTGATAGGAGCAAGGTTTTATATAAGAGCATCCCCAGCGTGGGGTTTTGCTCGGGGGACGGGGTCCAAAACAATGGCCCGAGGGTCGGTGGCGTCGGTCCAGCGTGGGGGAGCCCGGTGGATGGGGGAGGCCCGAGCTCAGGGCCCGTGAGGGATTGCCAGCCCTTGAGCCCGAGGTGGGGGTGACGCAAGGCTGACGCCAGGGTGGCGTCAGCGCATTATTTAATTTTTTTTGTGTCAGGCGCGTGCACCCCACCCGTGCGTGGGGGCGCGTCGCCGACACAAAAATCAGAAAAAAAAGAATCCGTCAGTTACGGTTGGGAAGCCACGTGGCTTCCCACGGTGCGTTAGATCTTAACGGTCACTTAATGTGGACCGTTAGATCTCAACGGTAAAAAAAAAAAAAAAAGTCAGATTTAATATCCACCGTTCGATCTGAGATCAACGGTGGATATTAAAATGCTTTATAAATTAAAAAATAAATGAAAAAATAGTTTTAAAAATCTGAAAAGTTACCGTTGTGACACGTGGCACAATCTGGAGTGTTGGAATTCAAATTTTTTTATATCCAACGGCAGAGATTAATTAATTGAATAAAAATTTAAAAAAAATTGTAAAAAATTCAAAAAAATATCTAAAAAATCTGAAAAAAATTGTAAAAAAAATTGTTTTTACTTTTCTATAAATACCTTCTCATTATCATCAAAGATTGTGAACAGATTATGACACGTGGCATGCCGTCATTCGTTAAAAATCTGATGGAAATCTATCCTCAAAGATTGTGAACCGATTATGACACGTGGCGCGACGTGATTGGTTAATAATCTTATCAGAAATCCATCACCAATAATTGTATTATTTTGTATTATTTAATAATACTTCGGATAATGACACGTGGCGCAACGAGAACGATTAAAAATCTTATCCGATATTACAATTAAAATTATTTTGTATTAATTTTATAAATAAAAAAATACTAATTTTATTGCCTATTGCCAAGGCTATTGAAGTGTAACGGAGGAGATGCAAATTCTATTGCCAGGGCTACTTACTGTTCATTAAGGACAATTACTGTTCATTAGGTGGATTGAATAGTGTATTGCCAGGAGAGGGCTCCAACGCTGGAGTTGCTCTAACACTTCTGAATCTGATGGCACAACAGAGATTGATTCACCAAGGGATACAGATTGATTCACCAAGGGATACACTGGGACACGGCAACCACGTGGCAGGAACAGTAGCAGGGACCGCTGTACCAGGTGCGTCCTACTACGGCGTAGCAGCTGGGACTGCCATAGGAGGCTCCCCGGGTTCAAGGATCGCCATGTACAAGGTATGCTCGTATGGAGGTTGTCCCGGCTCCGACATTTTAGCTGCCCTTGACGACGTGATTGCGGACGGGGTAGACGTTCTATCCCTCTCGCTTGGTTCAGCCAGTTGGTCTGCGCCGGAGTTGAGCAATGACCCCATTACGATCGGAGCGTTCCATGCGGTGGAGCTGGGGATTGCCGTGGCCTGCTCCGCCGGGAATGGTGGCCCTTACCCTGAAACCGTTGTGAACGTGGCACCTTGGATTTTGACAGTTGGCGCCACCACCATTGACCGAGATTTTGAGTCTGATGTGGTGTTGGGAGGGGGCAAGGTGATCAAGGGGAGAGGCATAAATTTTTCCAAACTCGAAAAATTGCCCGTGTACTCGTTGGTTTATGCTCTGTCTGCCGGCACACATGACGCTAATGAACTTAGTGCAAGGTAGCAATGCGATTTCCGGCTCCATCCCTAAAATTTCTGATTGGATATCTGTGATTCTCCGATCACATTGCTTCATGTACAGTTTTCAGAAACTGCGAAGTAAATTCCATGGAGGCAGAAAAGATCAAAGGGAAGGTTGTTCTGTGTGACACCAGCGGTGATTCTTCGAGGAATGGCCAGATTGACACAGTGAAGAGTCTGGGCGGAGCAGGTGTCATTTTTCAAGTAGAACATCCGGGGGGTAGCTGCAGGTACATACGTAGCACTTCTGGCAACCGTCATCAGTGTTAAGGACGGTCAAGAAATCCTCTCCTATATCAACTCAACCAGGTAACCCTAACTCAAAACCAAGCCAAATTTAACTTCATCAATTGGACCTTCATCTCAAAATTAATCGATTACTTATTTGTCAAGAAACCCAGTTGCAACCATCTTACCAACAGTGACGGTGACCAAGTATAAACCAGCGCCCATCGTCGTAAATTTTTCAGCCGGAGGACCTGCATCCGGCACAAGGAACATTCTCAAGGCAAGCAAGCTGGCTTCTCATTTCCGATGCCTAATTTTCCAAGAAAAGAGAATACGAATATTTCTAAAGTAGTTCGTCTGTCGCTCTAGAAGGAAAGGATCCGCCGCAATTCAATATCCTCTCGGGGACTTCCATGGCATGCCCCCATGTTTCGGGTGTAGCGGCCACTGTCAAATCTCAAAATCCAACATGGAGTCCCTCTGCGATCAGATCAGCGATCATCACCACAGGTCGAGATTCTTATTTCACAGCATGTTTTACTTCTGAGCTCGGAAGTTTAAATGCAACTTTCTTTCTTTGCAGCATCTCAAACAAACAATCTGGGAATCCCATTTACCACAGAGAAAAATTCTTCAGCCACGCCGTACGACTATGGCGCAGGGGAAGTGACGACAACCGGACCCTGACAACCAGGGCTGGTTTACGAAACCGAAACCGTTGACTACTTGAACTACCTGTGCTACTATGGCTACGACTTATCGAAAATTAAAACCATCTCAAGAACTGTTCCCAAAGAATTTTCTTGCCCCAAGGACTCCAATGCTGATTACATATCCAACGTCAACTACCCTTCAATAGCAATTTCCAACTTTAATGGAAAAGAGAGCAAGAACGTAACCAGGAAGGTTACGAATGTTGCAGGAGATGGCGAACGGTTTTCAGCGCTACTGTGGATGCACCTAGCGGTCTAACTGTGAAAGTGATTCCTGAAAAGCTGCAATTTTCCAAGAACAACCAGAAGTTGAGTTACCTAGTGGTTTTCTCTCCCAAGGAAGATATGTTTGGGTCTGTAACATGGACAAACGGAAAGTACAAAGTCTGAAGTCCTTTCGTTACAGACATTTGAAAACTGAGAGGAAGTATTTCAATAAATCAAGTTATAACTATCATCGCTTTGTGTTGCCTCTGCAATAAACATCTGACCTAATAATCTAGCAAACACGACGAAGCTACGGACAAAGTAAAACCCGCAAACACCTGCTAAATGAAATGCTAACACAAAATAAAACCCCGACCTGCTAATCAAATGCAACACCACAAGAAACCAAGAGATTGGCATGTCATGAAATAACTCCAAAGGATTTCAATGAAAACTTAAGCTGACCTCCACAGTCAATTTGGAAGGGGAAGCCCCTGCCTACAACAGAAGCCAATCTTTATTTCAATCATTCATCTTCCCTAATCACCACATCCGACTCACTATGGTTTCATCACAATCCGGCCTTACCAATGCCAGTTTCCAATATATTGGAAAAGACTACAATCTCTACACATAAATTAAAATGCAATGATTTGGGTAAAATCAAAGAGGCCATATCAAATCGGAAATTCATTCTGCCTAAACAATCAATCAAATCAGAAGACAAGAACGAAAAATAGAGTAAGAACCACATTTTAAATATATTATCATAACAAAAGAGAACCACTTAACATCACAGTTTGCAGGTCTAGAAGAGCTAGAAGTGAGGTGGAAGTAAATAATAGTCGTAAAGGACTTCACTAAGTCACAAAACGTTTCAGATAACAGATAGAAACTAAGTCACAAAACGCTTCAGATAACAGATAGAAACAGCACTCCACAACCACAGCTCATAAAAGAGTTCATCTCCAGGCCCTTCACTCAAAAGCCCATTGGTTCTCCCTGCGAACCTCCTCCTCTTCCTCGGGAGTAAAGTCGTTCTTAATGTTGAACGTCTTGCGAATCTCCTCAGGTGTTTTTCCCTTGATCATGTCCGCCACTGTTTGGCAAGTCAGGTCCAGCAAGCTCTTTATGTTCAAATAATTCGCAGCCTATAAACAACACAACTCGATACCATGTTTTCTCAATTAGTTTTACTACCAACAGAATACAGAAATACATAATAGTACAAAGAAACATACATTGGGTGCTTTCATAAAATCTTTTGCTAGGGCCTAGAGACAAGTAAAAATTATTAAAAATCCAAGCGCTTCAGAAGCACTTCCTCACACCCAGAAGCACTTCTAAATTTTTTCTGCCAAACTGGCCCGCTGTAATCTAGTGGTCATCAAGTGATTAGTAAATATATAAGCACGAATCATAATTAAAAAATATTTAATACTAAGACAAACAAATTCACGAATTTGTTCCCCTAAAAGTTTCTAAAAACGTCAATCAGAAATCAGATAATCAGAAACCCTAAAGTAATAAAGCAGTAAAGTAATCGAACTGCAACAGCAGAATCGAAAAAGGAGGAAAAAAGAAGCAGACCAGGATGAGATCGAAAAGCGTGGCCTGGTCGACCTTGACGAATTCGGCGTCCCAAGCCTTGAGGTCTTCATCAACGGCGGGGCGTTCTTCGGGCTTAGCGGCCTCGACGTGCTTCCGGCAGTACTCGATGACCTTCGCCAAGATCTTGCTGGTGACGTTGGGCAGAGGGATCCCGTTGTCGGCACAATCGTCCTCCACCATGTGCTTTATCGTCTGAGACTCCAAAGCCACCGCCTCGTCCACCTCAAAAGTCTCCCCGTCCGAGCTCTTCAGAGTTATCTTCCTCTCCGACGACATCGTTTGGATTGCTGCCTTCACCTGAAAACCCGAGCGAGAGAGATGATATTGGGATTTGATAGAGAATTGGAGAATTTGGAGGACAAACAAAACAAAGTAATTTTATAAGAAGCCCGACACCTAGCTTCTTATTCTAATAATATTTTAATTTAATAATTTAGTAATTTTATAAAAGCCATATATGTTTTGATGGCCTACAACGGGATCGGAATAGTTTTACGATAAAATAATGAGAGTTTTAACGAAAAACCTGCAGTTCATTTTAACGAAAAATCATATTTTTACATTAAAAAGTTAAACCGGGTACTATTCACTTTACCTTTTATTTTGTCCTTATCGTTAAAACTCAAAGTTTTCAAGTTATTTTCATTAGTTTTCCTTAAAATAATTCTCACTCTCATTTTTTTTTTTGATAACTTTATCGAAAAGCTCATGTCTCGTTTACTTTAACGAAAAGTCATATTTTTACACAAAAAGTCAATCCTAGTACTATTTACTTTACTCTTTATTTTGTTCTTATCGTTAAAACTCAAAGTTTTCAAGTCATTTTCATTAGGTTTTTTTTTTTTTGGGTGAAGAATAGAGATTACAACCCAAAGATAACAACAAAACAACAGCGAAACGAGTCCAAGAGACTCTGGCAGAATCATCAATGAGAGCTGATTTAATTCAAACATGAGGCTTATCAAATACAAGACCACCAATATCTATGTTATAACTTCAATTGGCCAACTGATCCATCACAATATTTTTTTTTCTCTGTAAATGTGATTCAATTCACACAATATGAAGATCAGAAGCACCCTTATCAATAGCAAGCTGTAAACCAAATCAAATGATGTGCATTATTGACTATTTGAAAATGTTGTCAGCTCTATAATACATAACACGTATGTGGCGTTAATTTTAAACATAACGTGTAATAGAGTTCTTGTCATGTGAGTTTTTAGCACAAATTGAACATTTAATTGAAGGCGTTATTTTTAAACGTAACATGTAATAGAGTTCTTGTCATGGGAGTTTTTAGCACAAATTGAATGTTTAATTGAAGGTTCAACAAATCAAAATGTTCGGATGGTAAAATTTCCGGAAGATGAAGTCAAATATCCCATTTAAACCTATTGCCCATCCAACTGAATCTTCCGAATCATCAGCAACGGTCAGAGCCCATTCTATATGTTTGGGATTCGACTGCTTCATCTCAATCCAACCCCCAAGCTTTGTGAACTCATCAAGTTCTGATTCCAACATTAGAGCAACAGATCCAGTTGACCGATTGTCCTGCGAGTTTGTTCCTAGGGGTGGAACAAGGGCTTCAATCATTGTCTCGGGGGATTTGCGAGGCACCAAACTGCTAAAAGGAATTGTAATAGCTCCAATTCTATGCTCCCCACATTCACTTGATAACTTAGGTATTTGGTGCAGACCCAGAAGCGACAGCTTTGTTTCTCTAGGAAGTTGATAGACAATTTGCCCAAAGGTGCTTAAGCAGCGCCCAACTCTACCTGAACTCGGTTGCGTTGCTAGTACGGAAACAAACTGAGCCAAGGAAGCGACAACATTTGATTTTTTTCACCATTAAGCCAATTGCACTGCCATTGTGTTGATTTAGAAGAGGTGGCCCAAATGATGAACGATCAGTAAGGCCCTTCCCCTGTCATGAGAAAAGAAAATCATCTCTGATTTACTAAAATCCATAACAAGACCGATATAACACCAAAATATGTAAAATTTACAGGCATGATTGCCACAAAATAAACACTCTTACCAATGATATGGTGACCCTAGCTGATTCTCAAAGTAAACTTAAAGAACCGAAAAGATCACGGACGAGGATAAACACCGAGTAAGCCATATGCAAATTATATAAGCGTTAAATGTTCTGTAAGCAAACAGATACAATCGTTAGGTAGATATTACTTTGTGAGTCATGACCTTAATACTATCAAATAAGCACCTGAAAAGCATTCCAATTTCCACTGGTGCAAACATATATCAGAAAGAAAAGGAAAAGGAATACTGGAAACAATCTAGGAAACCATTGACATCAATGCGTGTAATACCTGGTGAGAAGGACTAGTAAGAACCACAACATCCCTGCACTGAGCTCCCACTGGAATTGCAATTGCAGACAACCAGTTGCTAACATATAGGAAGCTTTTGCTAGAGAAAGTGGGCATTCTGAAAGATCAGAAAGCCTACTCTTGTGCTTTTGGCCGGCCACGAATTCTGCAACAAGCGTATCATTCTCCCTAACAGTAGTTTCAAAAACAAACCTCGAATCAATCTCAGTTCTCATTCCGGCTCGAGTAAGAGCATCAGAGCTGTGATCAACCTCATCCTCACTATTAAGCACAAGTAAGAATGCCCCCAAGAGATCAACCTCATCCTCATGTAAGTGTTTAATAGCTTAGTGCTTTATTTGTCATCTATATAATCTGAATAAAAGCTTGTTTCGGAATGCTTCTGGAATTGCCAAAAGTGCTTTCAATTCATATAATCAAACTGCTTTTAGCAGTGCTTAGCAGCAAAAACTAAAAATGCTTCTGGGTTATAGAGGCACTTATAAGTGCATTCCGGAGAAGCACCTGCCAGGCTGCCAGACTTGAATTTTGAATTTCTTCCAATAAGAGCACTTGTAGCAGAACATTCCCCAAAATTTCTCACCATGGGTGCTCTAGTATTTTAAATCAAATTACTATCAGCTTCGCTTAAGGTTGGTTATTAAATAATTAAATCTGATTAAGCAAACAGCAAAACAAATTAAAACATAAAAATACATGTGACAAAAAAGGAAGGAGCATTTTCGGAAATACCGGATGTCGGCGAGCTGAAGGCTGAGGGCGGCCATGGACGAGGCTGTCGAACAATTCCTGGGTCGATTTCGTGAAACCTCGTATCTTGTCTGAACAAAAGCTACAGGTTCCATTTTAGAAACCTTACCAACACCTACTGACCCAGACAACGAAGGATTACTGGAAGCGATTTTTCGGAAACTCCGAGGGTTTTTTACGTACATAAACCGCTGGAATTTCAAAATCCAGACTCAACGCGAGAGCAGCAAGCCGGCAAGTATTTGGTCCACTGAACTTACTTCTTTTCTCATTTTGCTTCGTTCGTCTTCTTTTTCTTTTTGCTTAAAATATAAACACTGGTCCTGGTCCATGCCACGCTGGTTTTCCTTTGGTCCGAGTTGAAAAGTTAGCTTTTTATGTTTAATAATTTTAAGAAAATTAGGTAAAATGACCGTAACTCAAATCTTAATGGTTGAATTAGTCAAAATCAGATATCGACAGCATAGTAAAAATTAATAAGTTCAGCAGCTGAGATTTTCAAATATATAATTTCGGAGAATTTCTTATAATTTTAAGCATAACAGAAAAATACTATGTTGACTTATCAACAAGGAAACAGCACAAAATAAATATCACTCGCTAAGAATCAATTAGAACGTGAAAAGTGGTTAGCTGATGGGTCATTTTTCTCAAACAACACAAACTCTATGTATTTATATAAAACTTATAATTGTCGAGATTCTGATACTAAATTGCTATAGAAGAAGTTCTCAATATTCCCTTTATAATCATTGTTTTGATGACTCAAATTCAATACCCTTTTGTTTTATTTCTCCATCAACATCAAGTATGAAGCATACCATGATTAGTACATAAATAAATACTGATTAATTTTGACTAAATTAGTAAGTTCTTCAGCAAGGTATATAACCCCTTTATCTTTGGCTGAATAAGTCGTTAATGCACTTTTGGAGTAACTTTGGGACAAATAACTTGTATACTCTTTCAGTTGGATGATAACTGTCCCAGAAAACGTACTCTCTGGTATTGTTGCATGTGTTTGGAGACAATCGATTGCACAATCTGACAACCTCTATTCTTCCTGTTCCACAACAACCTTTGTCTTCAACTTTAAATCCTGCATGCATAAATTCATCAGACTTCACGTAATTAACTTGGCTAGGACAATGTGTCACATCTGTACCCAAGTGTGTTTTCGATTGGATTAGAAATCGCTCGAATGAATGAAGCAAAATGTAGATATAATTGAATTAGTACCATATTTTTGTGGCTTGAGGATGATATCCATGAATGGACCGTAGACATCCATCAAAACGACCAGTTTGGCATGGAATAGCTGCTTGTTAAGGCGGTCCACCTCCACGGATAGCTTGGAGTTGAACAACTCTGCTGCTTGATTGTATCTCGCAACACAATTTCTTTCTGAACCTCCGTCTACAGTTCTCATTGATGGCAAACATCCAACCGGTGGTAGCCCAGAAATGACAATCCTCCGTGCTCCCAATGCATATAATTCCTTAGTTTAGTTTATATTTAATTAGTACTGCTTTTATAACATGTTCACGTACTTGGAGCCAGAGAAGTTGAAGTATATACCCGCACGAAGGCTGAAGCCTCGGCCACCATAAAATCAATGTAGGCATCTATATTGTATTGCAAGGAGCGTGCGGGTGTATGAAAGTAGGTATTCACTAGGTCGTCACTGCCTGTTACCACAAAGTGTAGGCTCTTGCTTACAATGCTCTTTGCTCTCTTTCCTCCAACATAATTTTTCAGCTTCTCTTTGTATTCTTTCAGCAGTAGCAATTGTTCCGATAGCGGTATAACAGACTGATGATCATTTTTTTTTATCATACTATTCAGCAAAATATGACTAAAATCAAGAAAAAAATGAGTAGATATTATTTATGTGTGTACCATCATCTCAGATGTTAATGGATCGAATCCTGAAGCGCCTGAAGCAAAGTTTACTCCGGTGGCAAAGTCCTTCTCTTGGAGATTCGGATCAAGATACGCCGGCAAAAGTTTTTTGATTCCCAGTTCCTCCACTGAAAAAAGAATTAATTAGTACCCGATAACATTAGTAATTAATTTGATTAGGACTTGTATTATGTATAATAATATATGATTAAGAGATTATTACACACCAACGATGTCTGAGGGCACCTTGCCATTGCCAAATCTTCCGGTAGCCACTCCTCCCATAAAATCTCTTCCATACGGGGGAAAATTGCTTTTAATAATTGTTACAAGGTTGTTGTTGTTGCCTGTATCAACGATTGAATCCCCGAACATAAAAACAGCAGGAATTGTAACATTTTTTGGTAGCTTCACAGTTGCTTGGGCAGTAGAGAATATCAGGTCTAGAGAACCAAGCAAAAAGAAAAATAAACTGGTCATTGCAGCTAATACTGCAGGAGAAAACAATGAAGTTTTCTCATGACTCGCATTACGTATGGAATTATAAACACGCAAGAAGAATTCACCATATGTGTGAGTGTCAGTTGCGTGACTTCGGGATCAATTGCTTGCAGGGATCTGTTACCGCGCATGCAAAAGGCGTGCTTTCTGATCATATTAATTGAAACACTCTAAAATGCACCTACAAAATTCATCGTTCTTCCCCTGCATGATAATTGAGTCCTAATCATATACAAGTGAACCTTAAAAATAAAATTGATATGAAGGAGTGCTACTACTTCTTTGTGTGAATATGCTTTCTGTAACTTTTTACAAGAATTTAGCTTTGTTAGTACTTCAGCTGCAATTATGTTTCTGTTCCTGCACCACGACTTATGTAGCTGCGGCCACCGAGGAGCGCGCAGCTGCCTGCTGCAGAAAATGGAACATTTAAATTTCAAGGAGTGTTCGCGTTTGGAGATTCGCATAGTGCTAATTACTGACTTTGAAGATTTATATATTGCCTCGGGGCGAGGCGAATTGGTGTTTTCGGTGATGCAGAATTAGGATGCACACCATTTGGCAGAACCGGAGGAGGGTTACTGATGGAGTGTTTGGATTGGAGAGTTCAATTCAAAGTTATCATCTGAATTTGATTGCATCAATGTTAACTTTACAGACGCGAAGCTAGTCTATATGGATCTTTGCCAACCTTTTCGTTGTTGTTGCCGGTTCCAATACTCAGGCGCCGCCCTTGAGACCACCTATCACGGCGCCTAATCTTACAGACCGCAGCATGCAGTGGGTCTTACTGGGGTCCCCTTCTCCTTCCAGATTTGAACTTTTCAAATTTATCCTCAAATTCTAGATTAAAGTTAATTAACTAAATTTACAATTTCATAAGAAGGCCAGGTTCGGACCTCTTCAACCTTGACACGACGATCGAATCAGACCTCGAGCGGTGAATCCGGGCGAGAATCAGTTGAAGTAGAAGAGAAACTGTGGGTGGTTGAGCTTGTCGGGGAATCTTCCCTCTGTCTTTCTCCCGCCACTACGTCTTTCATTATTCCTAGCTTCAACAATCATCGCCGTTGGGATCCCTGCAAGTGGGATTTCGCAGTTACCCAGATGAGAAAACGACTCCCAAATCACCAAACAAGCCAAACCCAGATAAAAAACCAAAGAAATTAAAGTGGATTCGTTAAAGATTGTGTCTTTGATAAAGCCTAAAGTGGGAAAAGAGCCATGAAATTGCAGATGGGTTCGTTAAAGACTGTCTTTGGTAAAGCTTAAAGTGGGAAAGAAAAGCCATGAAATTGCACCAACTCCGCTAAATCATGAGGAAGGGAGCGACGATGAGGCGGACAAGATGAGGTAAGGGGAGCGTCTTATTTTAATTAAATACGAGCATATGGGCATGTGAGAAAATTTTTTATTTTTGTTTTTGAAATAGAAGAAAAGAGGAGGAGAGTGATAGAGAACGTGGGAGTGAGAAATTATTTTTATTTTTATTTTTTTTAAGTAGAAATATATTAGGATTACATGTAGGTGAGACTTAAAAAAAACACTAAAATTTGGTTATATGAAATTACATTTCTGCCCCATATTATTTCTTATTCATGTTCTGTTTAATTAGAAGGTTAAACTTGTAATTTCATAGGATTTTGGTTAACAATGAGTGTTTTATTAATTAGTAGAGATAAATTATTATATGAACATAAATTATTATAAACAATTTACCACACATTTAACTACTTTATTTTACAATTATTTACTCTCATGTAGAAGCAGTTTTTTTTAAACTGTTTTATTTTACAACTGCTTATTTTAACATTACAACATATACAAATTTTTTTTTTTAAAATCACATCAATACTTGCTTAGAAGAAGCGGCTGGAATAATTGTCGAGAATCTGCTTCACAATGATCTTGTATGCTCTTTCGGTTGGATGGTAGCTGTCCCAGAAAACGTACTTAGAGTCATGTGTGCAGACCCCTGCAGGTTGGAGCTGATTGCACAGTTTTGTTACTTCAATAAGGCCAGTTCCACAACACCCTATATTTGCAACTTCAAACCCTGCCGACATGGATCGACACAAACATATAAATCTTTACTAATTTATAGGAAATGTAATGGAGCTAGCTAGGCAGAGTAAATGAAACATCGTACCGTATTTAGCGGGGTTTTTTATGATATCGAGTAGCGGATTATAGATGTCAATGTAGACCACTCTCGAGTTTGGCAGGTTTTTGTTAAGACGATCCATCTCCACAGAGAGCTTGGAATTGAACAGTTGGCATGCTTGGTTTTGCTTTTCGTCACAATCTCTTTGTATGCCTCCATTTAACGTTCGTTGAGATGGTACACATCCGATGGGTGGTGTACTTAGTACGCCTATTCTTCGTGCCCCCAATCCATACAAGTCCTACAAAATTCATAACTTTGCTATATCAATTAAATTGTGAAAAGATGAACATTTTTCATTTTTAGCAATTTGTATCACGAAAATACGCACCTTGACGAAATCAGAGGCATGTTTGAGGATGAAGTCGGTGTAAGAAGGAACGTCATACTCCAATCTCCTAAGACCGCTAAGAAAATACGTATTAGAAATATCGTTGCTGCCGGCTACCACAAAAATCAGACTGTTTTTTATGATGAAGTTTGTTTTCTTCTCTCCAACAATTCCTTTCAGCTTTTCTATGTACTCCTTGAACTGTTTCATTTGGTCGGATAGCGATGCAACTACCTACACAATCGAATTCCAGAATTAATGAAGGAGGGGAAAATAAAATTAACAAAAGAATAAAGGATTAGAGCTTTAAATATATAGGTCGTACCGCGAGTTTTGCTGTCAATGGATCATAACCTGCACCACCGGTAGCTATGACAACACCGGTAAGGAGGTCATTAGGCTGCAGGGTTGGATCCAAATATGCCGGCAACAGCTCCTTGATTCCTAATGCTTTCACTGGACATGAAAAAAAAAATCGTAACATAGAGGAGGGTTAATTGAACATTTTATTGTATAAGTCTATAAGAGAATATTTATTCGGAATATCTGGGACAAAATTAGAGATAAAACGTATTATATTCTCGGATTTTTCACAAAAAACTAGGAGTTAGCGCACAGTTTTTGATCTGTTTTACGAAGTTCTACAAAAAGCAAAGCCAGAGTGGCTACCAGTTAGTAATCTTTTATTAGTGTTTAATGGTGGTGATGATGATGACGACGATGATTGTGATAATGATGGTGATGACAACCTATGAAGTCTGAGGGAACCTTTCCATTGGAAAATCTGCCGGTTGGCATTCCTCCCTTGAGGTCTTTTCCATAGGGTAAGAAATTGCAGCGTGCAAATGTCCCGAAGTTTTCGTTGTTGTTGCCGGTATCAACAATCGAATCTCCGAATACAATAACAGCCGGGATAGGTCACATTCTCCGGTAGCTTGACTGTCGCAGCTGCCTCAGTAACGTTACTCATACTAATAATATTGCACAAGAAAATCACGAAAATTACATATGACGACTGCATCTGCAGCCTGACCAGTTTAGGACTAAACAGACCTAGTCCTCCTGCATCTGCATGCATTCTGGACAATTAAATCCCCAAGTTGCAGGTACACAAAAACAAATGATCGAAAAGAAATGAGCATAAACTTGTGGGTCTTTAATTTCCGATTGTGAATTTATATTAGTTTTCGATTGTTTCTTGTGAATTTAATCAATTTATATATGATTGTTTATTGTGTTTGTTGTGAATTTATATTAGTTTCCCATTGTTTCTGGTGAATTTTATATGATTGGCTGTTGTGTTTGTTGTAAATTTATACACAAAAAAAGTTGAGGTTGCCCGCATCCCTCTTATAAACCATTTTATACACAAAGACAGTTGAGGTTGCCTACACAAAGAAAGTTGGGCTACATCCCTCTTATAAGTCTTTGCATGTTTGGTCTCGCACTTCGTGTCGTCATTAGGTTTTGTTGCATCATTAAATTAATTGACGATATGAGGAGTAGTTCAATCTCTTATATGATTTAATTTCATACTAATGTGAAATTTTACCCTCACATCCTCACAATATATACGTATAGATCGAGTCATAGATTTTTCTCAAGCAAGCTGTCAGTCGATGGCGTCCATTTATTAACAAAGCAAATAAATAATTAGTTGTTTTAACTTTTTTCAACATGCAACAATTAATTTAGGTGGCTTAATAGGCTCTCCATACTGATACAGAACTAATAAGATAAAAAATTTATTTTCTTCCCTTTAGATTTTCTACATTAGAGAACAATTTTAATGAAAGTTTCGACAAATGTCTCACGCATCAGTTCATGCATAATGTCATTTTATTTTATTTTAAAATATACGATTTTAAAATAACTAAGAGAAAGCAGGCTTTAATTAGGCTATGTTTTGAGTGAAATACAAATGAGGGAGATATAAAGCTAAACTTCGTTGATGGAAATAACATATATAGCAAGTAACACGATAAGAGAACTCTACTTACAAAGAAAATATATGATAAAAATCATCTAAAACAATAGTTGGTAGAAGCAGAAAGATCATGAATATAAGCAAACGCTACACATGAAAGAACGTTGGACTAGACCACCAGTAATATGGATCATGATCTGCACAAAAAGTTAATTAAGGCATCGGCTACACAGTTGCCCTCGCTAAAAATATGGGAAACATAAACATGCATATGCCTAACTGGCCACAAGCAATTACTCCAATCAACATGCAAATACCAAGGAATAATAGAACTAGGAGAGTTTACGTAGTGAATCACTACAGTTGAGTCCGTCTCAAACCAAATGTGATTAACTTTCAAGTTCCATGAAATTTAGGTCAAGTGAGAAAAAAACCTACTTTACAAAGTTGTAGCGCTTGTTTAGAAGTGCTATTAAAGTGACTAAAAACACTTTTGGTAAAAATGTTGTTTAGACCAATTATGAGTAAAAATACAAGCGAAATCTCAAAAAGTAGTTAAAGTGCTTCTTACACAATTTGGCTGTTGTGGTAATGGAGCAATAAAAACAGGTATATTGTGAAGCCAATTCAGTCCGTTCACATGTACTAATTTATCTATATAATGTTTGTATTCACTTCACCCGATCGACATAAAGAGCTGCCGGTGCAGGAAACGTTGCTTCGCGGATTCTTCAAAAATACTTCAAAATTATGGTTTCTTAATGCTGCCATCTGTATCTCAGTGGTCTCCACGTGTCAAATTCTCTATTGGTCTAATTCATATCGATAAACAGATTTATGCATCTAAACATGTTTTTGTTCCGAATATATACGTGTGAATGATTTCAAGAAGCTATATATAATTCTTGTTTATCTTGTTAATATGTCTGATTTCTTTGTTTCTGTTTGGACTTAAAATTATTGGGCTAGGCCGAGTATGGAATTGCTCTCGGCCCAGAAGCGCTGCTCGAGGATTGCTACAAACCGGCCGGTTCATGGGCCGCCTAACTAAAGTCGGTCAAGTCCTATTTGGGAAAAAAATATTCCAGATGAATAGGAAGTGGTGGGCCCTATTGCGAAGCAGATGAATGAAGAGGTTAAGTCCTGATGCAGTAAGGATTCTCGGCCAGATAAAGATACCGGAAAGTGGAAATGAATGTGGCCTAATAAGAGGTTGAATTCAAAATCCTAATAGAAGGGGGATTGGCCGAGATAAGATGGATTGGGGTAAGAAGTCCTAGTTCAAGTATGGTTAGGATTTGTTCTTACTGCTATAAATAGAGAACAGAGTGCGCAATTAAAGTCTCTCCAATTCAACACACAATTGCCCTGCACAAACCTCTCAAACAAACTTGAGATTTTTCATGTTCTTTTTCCGCCAACACATCTTCAGTTTGGATAAACAACACTATGGAGGCAACCGGCGAACATCTTCAGTTTGGATAAACAGCACTAGTTGCCGTGGAATCAATCGACCAAGGAACACATTCAGTTTGGATAAACAGCACTACATCGAGGTCGATTGGTTACCTATTCAAGTCTCGGTCGATAAGGGTTTCCTAATCCTTATTGGCAAAGGTCATCTTATTAGCCTTCTCGGCGAAGTAAGGTGTTACGAGTTACGACATTTGGCACATTGAACGCCGAGTAATTTTATGATTGGATACTCACAAGTGAGTTTCAGAGTTCGGCATTCTGACGGCCGAACCACCTTTACCATCAAGACATACGTCATCTTTGAGTATTTGTGTCCATATAGTCTGGTGTCGATTCGACGTGCTTATACTCTCACGAATATAATCATTGTGACCGAATCCGACAACGATGATTCGTGAACTTCGCAGAATTAGCAACCTTGTCTTCAGGCTCGAGAATCCAAAGGCCGAGACTTGTTCCTTCCTCGGCCGCAGTCGCAAGATCAAGAAGTCAACAACGCGCTCAATGCAACATCAGCAAATTTTACTCCTCGGCCGACGAGTTGGGACGCCCCACCTCAACCGAATGACGTAGTTAGCTCATTAGTTACTCGGCCTGCGCACCACGTAGGCTTTGTAATTTTGAGGGTCAACAGTTTCATATAACAAAACACATAACCATGTCGACTTAAATCATAAAGCAACACATATAACAAAACCATGTCGACTTAAATCATAAAGCAACACATAACTCTTTGATCAACCTAAGTCCAGAACAAATCAATTTTACAAATCGTTATTCCAAGCAGGGAATTTGAAGGGTTTTATTCATTTGTAAAGATATAATGAGTTGTCTCAGATGATGAGGCTGGTATAATTGTCGAGAATCTGCTTCACAATGATCTTGTACGCTCTTTTGGTTGGATGGTAGCTGTCCCAAAAAACATACTTAGAGTCATCTATGCAGACTCCTGCAGGTTGGAGCTGGTTGCACAGTTTTGTTACTTCAATGGTGCCAGTACCACAACACCCTTTATTCGCAACTTCAAACCCTGCCGGCATGGATCGACACAAACATATAAATCTTTACTAATTTATAAGAAATGTAATAAAGCTAGCTGGGCAAAGTAAATGAAACATCTTACCGTATTTAGCTGGGTTTTTTATGAGATCGAGTAGCGGATTATAGATGTCAATGTAGACCACTCTCGAGTTTGGCAGGTTTTTGTTAAGGTGGTCCATCTCCATAGAGAGCTTGGAATTGAACAGCTGTGATGCTTGGTTTTGTTTTTCGTCACAATCTCTTTGTATGCCTCCTTTTACCGTTCGTTGAGAAGGCACACATCCGATAGGTGGTGCACTTAGTACGCCTATTCTTCGTGCCCCCAATCCATACAAGTCCTACAAAATTCATAACTTTGCTAACTAGCTACATCAATTAAATTGTGAGGCAATGTACATTTTTCATTTTTAGCAATCTGAATCAAGAAAATACACACCTTGATAAAATCAGAGGCATATTTGAGCATGAAGTCGGTGTAAGAAGGAACGTCATACTCCAATTCCCTAACACCGCTAAGAAAATAGGTATTAGAAATATCGTTGCTGCCGGCTACCACAAGAATCAGACTGTTTTGTATGATGAAGTTTGTTTTCTCCTCTCCAACAATTCCTTTCAGCTTTTCTATGTACTCCTTGAACTGTTTCAATTGGTCAGATAGCGATGCAACTGCCTACACAATCGAATTCCAGAATTAATGGAGGAGGAAAAAAATTAAAATTAACAAAAGAACAAAGGATTAGAGCTTAAATATATAGGTCGTACAGCAAGTTTTGCTGTCAACGGATCATAACCTGCACCACCGGCAGCTATGACAACACCGGTAAGGAGGTCATTAGGCTGCAGGGTTGGATCCAAATATGCCGGCAACAGCTCCTTGATTCCCAATGCTTCCACTGTACATGAAAAAAAAATCGTAACATAGAGTAGGGTTAATTGAACATTTTATTGTATATGTGAATAATTATTCAGAATTTCTGGGACAAAATTAAACATGAAAATTATATTCTCGGATTTTTCACAAAAAGCAAGGGCTAGGGTTCAAAGTTTATTCCGAACTCAATTATCATAATAATTAATACCAGTTAGTAATCTTTTATTAGTGTTCAATGATGATGATGATGATGATGATGATGATGATGGTGATGACAACCTATGAAGTCTGGGGGAACCTTTCCATTGGAATATCTGCCGGTTGGCATTCCTCCCTTGAGGTCTTTTCCGTAGGGAAGGAAATTGCAGCGTGCAAATGTCCTGAAGTTTTCGTTGTTGTTGCCGGTATCAACAATCGAATCTCCGAATACAATAACAGCCGGGACAGCTGCCTCAATGACATTATTCTTACTAATAATATTGCAGAAGAAAATCACGAAAATTACATATGACAGCATCTGCAGCCTGCCCAGTTTAGGACTAAATAGCCCTAGTCCTCCTGCAACTGCATGCATCTGGACAATATATAGTTAAGATCGAGTCTGGACCAAAAAAAGGTTCGAGAAATAGATTTTTCTGAAGCGAAGCAGTCAGATGGTATTCATTTATTAACAACCCAAATAAATATTTAGCTGTCAACAATTAATGTTACTCTTATCACATTTTTTACACTATATTTGTACCACCTTTTTTAATAATGATGGGACTTAGATGTGTTGTTGAGCTCTACCTCAATTAAAGAAGTGATACAAATGTGATATAAAAAATGAAGAATATTTTTGTTCACCATCTTATTTATCAATGTTGAATGAGTTTAAATTTTGACATTTGTGTATTGGAAAAACAGAAATTTCAAAATTTAAACTCATTAGGTTCAATTCTCGCTAAATGTAAAATTGAATCACATTATTATGGCAAATTCATTGTAAGACTAAGCTCACTCTTCATCCCTTAATGAACATACTATCGTTTGTTCAAAAAATAAATAATAACAATATACAATAATGTGCATTACCAATACTTGAGATGGTAAGTGTAAGTGTGTAACGTCACTCTTCTTTGGTTGTTCTAACTTTCAACATGCAATAAATATTTAGGTGGCTTAATTAAGCCCTCCAGGCTGATATATAACTAACAAGATAATAAGAACACCCCATTCCCCCGGTGGAGCCCACTTTTAATATTTTATTAATTTTTTTAATAGAAAGTGTGTGACATCCCACATCGCCCAGGGGAGTGATCCTTATATGTATATTTCCATCCCTACCTAGCACGAGGCCTTTTGGGAGCTCACTGGCTTTGGGTTCCATGGAAACTCCGAAGTTAAGCGAGTAGCAGTGCGAGAGGACTCCCATGATGGGTGACCCATTGGGAAGTTCTTGTGTGAGTTCCCAGAAACAAAACCGTGAGGGCATGGTCGGGGCCCAAAACGGACAATATCGTGCTACGGTGGTGGAGCAAGCCCGGGATATGGTGGACCCTAGACCGGGACTGTGACAATTTGGTATCAGAGCCTAACCCTGGCCGCGTGTGTGCCGACGAGGACGTCGGGCCCCTAAGGAGGGTGGATTGTGACATCCCACATCGCCTAGGGGAGTGATCCTTATATGTATATTCACATCCCTACCTAGCACGAGGCTTTTTGGGAGCTCACTGGCTTCGGGTTCTATGGGAACTCCGAAGTTAAATGAGTAGCGCACGAGAGCACTCCCATGATGGGTGACCCACTGGGAAGTTCTCGTATGAGTTTCCACAAACAAAACCGTGAAGGCATGGTCAGGGCCCAAAGCGGACAATATCGTGCTACGGTGGTGGAGCGGGCCCAAGATGTGACAAAATGGGCCCCCCTTATGCCACGTCAGCATTTAACAGAGGAATTAACAGACAACTGATAGAAGGTATGACATTGCAACAAATTCGAAGATAACGGACAATATCGTGCTACGGTGGTCGAGCAGGGCCGGGATGTGACAAAGTGGGCCCGCCTTATGCCACGTCAGCATTTAACAGAGGAATTAACAGACAACTGACAGAAGGTATGACATTGCAACAAATTCGAAGATAAGGTATAGGTATGACATTGAAACTTTTTAAAGACAAGGTATGAAAAGGTTAATAACCCAATAGTTGAAGTAGTTTTATGTAATTTACCCAAAATAATATTACAATTCTCAAATAAAGCATGATTTATGCATATGTGATTAAACTAAAGCTATTTTATGTGTTGATGGCCATCTAATCAATTATAGACGGAGCTCGATGCTTAACCACCACGACGACGACTCTTAATTGCTTGATGTGGAAGTTGCTTGGTGGGGGATCGTACCCTCTTGATATACAGTTGACGTATATAGCTGAGAATTCATAAATATCAAATCAATCAATGTTGCGCGTCTCTCTTAATTATAAGCTCGGGTAAATTACATAAAACTACCTCAACTATTGGGTTATTAACAGTTTCATACCTCAACTATTGAGTCATTAACAGTTTCATACCTCGTCTTTAAAAAGTTTCAATGTCATACCTTATCTTCGAAGTTGTTGCAATGTTATACCTTCCGTCAGTTGTCTGTCAATTCCTCTGTTAAATGCTGACGTGGCATGAGGTGGAGCCCACTTTTTATTAAAAATATTTAAAAAATCAATAAAATATTAATTAAATATTAACTAACCCCATATGTCGTCCCTTCCCCCCTCCCCCCCCAAAAAACCTTCATATCCAGAACCCCACATTCACCTCCCCCACAACCCCCCCCCTTTTTTCCTTCCCTCTCCTCCCACCCACCCACCTCCCTCTCCTCCACTCTCTTCACCTTCCCTCCCATTCAAAGTCTAATATATATATATATATATATATATATATATATATATATATATATATATATTCATAAACAAATTTGAACCCAAATTGTCCAGATCGTCGCACCCCACCCAACCCTTCCTTCCTCGGACCACCTCAGCTGGTTTTTCTTTTTCTTTTTATTTATTTATTTTTTATTTTTTTTATTTTTTTAAGTTTTGAATGAGAAAGGAGGTGAAGAGAGTGGAGGAGAGGGAGGTGGTTAGGAGGAGAGGGAGGGAGAAAGGGGGGTTACGGGGGAGATGGGGGGTGGGGTTCTGGGTTTGGAAGGAAGGTTTTGGGGGTAAGGAGGACGACAGATGGGGAAGATGATGAAGGGGATGGGGTTTCGAGTGTTGAGGGGGGGGGAGGTGGGGTGATGGGATCTAGGTATTGGTTTTTTTTTTTTTTAATGTTTAATGTTTAGTTAATTTTTAAAATTTTTTACTAGAAAGTGGACCCACCTAATGCCACGTCAACATTTAACAGAGGAACCGATAGATAACTGACGAAAGGTATGACATTGCAACAAATTCGAAGATAAGGTATGATATTGAAACTTTTTAAAGACGAGGTATGAAACTATTAATGACCCAATAATTGAGGTAGTTTTATGTAATTTACCCAAAATAATATTACAATTCTAAATAAAGCATGATTTATGCATATGTGATTAAACTAAAGCTATTTTACGTGCTGATGGGCGCCTAATCAATTATAGAGTGAGCTTGATGCTTAACCACCATCACGACGGCTCTTAATTGCTTGATGTGGAAGTTGTTTGGCAATGTATCATACCCTCTTGATATACAATTGACGTTTACAGTTGAGAATTCATAAATATCAAATCAATCAATGTTGTGTGTCTCTCTTAATTATAAGCTCGGGTAAATTACATAAAACTACCTCAACTATTGGGTCATTAACAGTTTAACGACCCAATAGTTGAGGTAGTTTTATTTAATTTACCCAAAATAATATTACAATTCTCAAATAAAGCATGATTTATGCATATGTGATTAAACTAATGTTATTTTATGTGTTGATGGTCGTCTAATCATTTATGGAGGGAGCTCGATGCTTAACCACCACCACGACGGCTCTTAATTACTTGATGTGGAAGTTGTTTGGCGGGGGATTGTACCCTCTTGATATACAGTTGACGTATACGTTCAGAATTCATAAATATCAGATCAATCAATGTTGTGTGTCTCTCTTAATTATAAGCTTGGGTAAATTACATAAAACTACCTTAACTATTGGGTCATTAACAGTTTCATACCTCGTCTTTAAAAAGTTTCAATGTCATACCTTATCTTCAAATTTGTTGCAATGTCATACCTTCCGTCAGTTGTCTATCAATTCCTCTGTTAAATGCTAACGTGGCATGAGGTGGAGCCCACTTTCTATTAAAAATATTTAAAAAAATCAATAAATTATTAATTAAATATTAACTAACCCTATCCGTCGTCCCCCCCCCCCCCAAAAAAACCTTCCTTCCAAACCCAGAACCCCACCCCCTACCTCCCCTGCAACCCCCCCTTTTCCCTACCTCTCCTCCCACCCACCTCCTTCTCCTCCACTTTCTTCACCTTCCCTCACATTCAAAGTCCAAAAAACAAAAAAAAAAAAAAAAAAATATATATATATATATCAAAAACAAATTTGAACCCAAATTGTCCAAATCGTCGCACCCCACCCAACCCTTCCTTGCTTGGACCAGCTCAGCTGGTTTTTTTCTTTTTTTTTTTAAGTTTTGAATGGGAGGGGAGGTGAAGAGAGTGGAGCAGAGGGAGGTGGTTAGGAGGAGAGGGAAGGAGAAAAGAGGCTTGCAGGGGAGATAGGGGTGGGGTTCTGGATTTGGAATGAAGGTTTTGGGGGGTAGGGGGGACGACAAATGGGGAAGATGATGAAGGGGATGAGGTTTCGAGGGTTATTGGGGGGGGGGGGGGGGTGGGGTGATGGGATCTGGGTTTTTTTTTTTTTTTTAATTTTTAATATTTAGTTAATATTTAATTAATTTTTTTAATAGAAAGTGGGCCTACCTCATGCCATGTTAGCGTTTAACAGAGGAATTGATAGACAATTGACGAAAGGTATGACATTGCAACAAATTCGAAGATAAGGTATGACATTGAAACTTTTTAAAGACGAGGTATGAAACTGTTAATGACCTAATAGTTGAAGTAGTTTTATGTAATTTATCCAAAATAATATTACAATTCTCAAATAAAGCATGATTTATGCATATGTGATTAAACTAATGTTATTTTATGTGTTGATGGCCATCTAATCAATTATAGACGAAGCTCGATGCTTAACCACCACCACGACGACTCTTAATTGCTTGATGTGGAAGTTGCTTGGTGGGGGATCGTACCCTCTTGATATACAGTTGACGTATATAGCTGAGAATTCATAAATATCAAATCAATCAATGTTGCGCGTCTCTCTTAATTATAAGCTCGGGTAAATTACATAAAACTACCTCAACTATTGGGTCATTAACAGTTTCATACCTCAACTATTGGGTCATTAACAGTTTCATACCTCGTCTTTAAAAAGTTTCAATGTCATACCTTATCTTCGAAGTTGTTGCAATGTTATACCTTCCGTCAGTTGTCTGTCAATTTCTCTGTTAAATGCTGACGTGGCATGAGGTGGAGCCCACTTTTTATTAAAAATATTTAAAAAATCAATAAAATATTAATTAAATATTAACTAACCCCATATGTCGTCCCTTCCCCCCCTCCCCCCCCCCCAAAAAACCTTCATATCCAGAACCCCACATTCACCTCCCCCACAACCCCCCCCCCCTTTTTCCTTCCCTCTCCTCCCACCCACCTCCCTCTCCTCCACTCTCTTCACCTTCCCTCCCATTCAAAGTCTAATATATATATATTCATAAACAAATTTGAACCCAAATTGTCCAGATCGTCGCACCCCACCCAACCCTTCCTTCCTCGGACCACCTCAGCTGGTTTTTCTTTTTCTTTTTATTTATTTATTTTTATTTTTTTTATTTTTTTAAGTTTTGAATGAGAAAGGAGGTGAAGAGAGTGGAGGAGAGGGAGGTGGTTAGGAGGAGAGGGAGGGAGAAAGGGGGGTTACGGGGGAGATGGGGGGTGGGGTTTTGGGTTTGGAAGGAAGGTTTTGGGGGTAAGGAGGACGACAGATGGGGAAGATGATGAAGGGGATGGGGTTTCGAGTGTTGAGGGGGGGGGAGGTGGGGTGATGGGATCTAGGTATTGGTTTTTTTTTTTTTTTTTTAATGTTTAATGTTTAGTTAATTTTTTTAATTTTTTAATAGAAAGTGGACCCACCTAATGCCACGTCAACATTTAACAGAGGAATCGATAGATAACTGACGAAAGGTATGACATTGCAACAAATTCGAAGATAAGGTATGATATTGAAACTTTTTAAAGACGAGGTATGAAACTATTAATGACCCAATAATTGAGGTAGTTATATGTAATTTACCCAAAATAATATTACAATTCTAAATAAAGCATGATTTATGCATATGTGATTAAACTAAAGCTATTTTACGTGCTGATGGGCGCCTAATCAATTATAGAGTGAGCTTGATGCTTAACCACCACCACGGCGGCTCTTAATTGCTTGATGTGGAAGTTGTTTGGCAATGTATCATACCCTCTTGATATACAATTGACGTTTACAGTTGAGAATTCATAAATATCAAATCAATCAATGTTGTGTGTCTCTCTTAATTATAAGCTTGGGTAAATTACATAAAACTACCTCAACTATTGGGTCATTAACAGTTTAACGACCCAATAATGGAGGTAGTTTTATGTAATTTACCCAAAATAATATTACAATTCTCAAATAAAGCATGATTTATGCATATGTGATTAAACTAATGTTATTTTATGTGTTGATGGTCGTCTAATCAATTATGGAGGGAGCTCGATGCTTAACCACCACCACGACGGCTCTTAATTACTTGATGTGGAAGTTGTTTGGCGGGGGATCGTACCCTCTTGATATACAGTTGACGTATACGTTCAGAATTCATAAATATCAAATCAATCAATGTTGTGTGTCTCTCTTAATTATAAGCTTGGGTAAATTACATAAAACTACCTCAACTATTGGGTCATTAACAGTTTCTTACCTCGTCTTTAAAAAGTTTCAATGTCATACCTTATCTTCAAATTTGTTGCAATGTCATACCTTTCGTCAGTTGTCTATCAATTCCTCTATTAAATGCTAACGTGGCATGAGGTGGAGCCCACTTTCTATTAAAAATATTTAAAAAAAATCAATAAATTATTAATTAAATATTAACTAACCCCATCCGTCGTCCCCCCCCCCCCAAAAAAACCTTCCTTCCAAACCCAGAACCCCACCCCCTACCTCCCCCGCAACCCCTCCTTTTTCCCTCCCTCTCCTCCCACCCACCTCCTTCTCCTCCACTTTCTTCACCTTCCCTCACATTCAAAGTCCAAAAAACAAAAAACAAAAACAAAAAAAAAAAAATCAAAAACGAATTTGAACCCAAATTGTCCAAATCGTCGCACCCCACCCAACCCTTCCTTCCTTGAACCACCTCAGCTGGTTTTTTTTTTTTTTTTTTTTTAAGTTTTGAATGGGAGGGGAGGTGAAGAGAGTGGAGCAGAGGGAGGTGGTTAGGAGGAGAGGGAAGGAGAAAAGGGGCTTGCAGGGGAGATAGGGGTGGGGTTCTGGATTTGGAAGGAAGGTTTTGGGGGGTAGGGGGGACGACAAATGGGGAAGATGATGAAGGGGATGGGGTTTCGAGGGTTATTGGGGGGGGGGGGGGTGGTGGGGTGATGGGATCTGGGTTTTTTTTTTTTTTTTAATTTTTAATATTTAGTTAATATTTAATTAATTTTTTAATTTTTTTAATTTTTTTAATAGAAAGTGGGCCTACCTCATGCCACGTTAGCGTTTAACAGAGGAATTGATAGACAATTGACGAAAGGTATGACATTGCAACAAATTCGAAGATAAGGTATGACATTGAAACTTTTTAAAAACGAGGTATGAAACTGTTAATGACCTAATAGTTGAAGTAGTTTTATGTAATTTATCCAAAATAATATTACAATTCTCAAATAAAGCATGATTTATGCATATGTGATTAAACTAATGCTATTTTACGTGTTGATGGGCGCCTAATCAATTTTAGAGTGAGCTCAATGCTTAACCACCACCACGGCGGTTCTTAATTGCTTGATGTGGAAGTTGTTTGGCAGGGGATCATACCCTCTTGATATACAGTTGACATATACAGTTGAGAATTCATAAATATCAAATCAATCAATGTTGCGCATCTCTCTTAATTATAAGCTCGGGTAAATTACATAAAACTACCTCAACTATTGGGTCATTAATGACCCAATAGTTGAGGTAGTTTTATGTAATTTACCCAAAATAATATTACAATTCTCAAATAAAGCATGATTTATGCATATGTGATTAAACTAATGCTATTTTATGTGTTGATTGTCATCTAATCAATTATAGAGGGAGCTCGATGCTTAACCACCACCACGACGGCTCTTAATTGCTTGATGTGGAAGTTGTTTGACGGGGGATCGTACGCTCTTGATATACAATTGACGTATACAGTTCAGAATTCATAAATATCAAATCAATCAATGTTGCGCGTCTCACTTAATTATAAGCTCTACTTTAAGGACACACGAATTACGGGGCATGCAGGGCATCTGCTTGTAAATTTCGTGGTGTGGCTCTGCATGTGAATGTGATGCAGTTGGAAGTTGACTTATAACTAAATGAGGATCGTTAGATTATTAATGTATTATAATGGTCGAGATGAAGCGAAATGTGGAAAAATGCTTAAGTTATGTTATCGAAATTAGACGTTGGGGAGCTATGATGGAGAAGCAAACTCTTTTTATCTTTCTTGTTTTTTGAAGGGTGATTTTATTCTAACCCAATGAAGAGCTTTGGGATCAAATTCTATATTTGTGTTCATATATCGTAGGATAATATAAATAATTATGATCATAATATACATGTAAATTCAATCAATTAGATAATAACCAAATGCATCAAACACATATATCAATAAATAAAGCAGTAAAAAAGAAAAGTAAAGAATTATTCGGGTTGTTTGCCCGATGCACCATTCCCATGGTGTAGGGGCGATTGTGCAGGTATTATTAGATACGAGGAGCTTTGGGGTAGCAGACAGAGTTCAGAGAGTGTGGAGTGTTAGGTTACCCCTATACTTTTCCTTAAACAGTTGAAACTATTGTTATTTTCAGTGCAGTATTCCAGTTTGTATTTCCTGGCATCCCTTTATAGTTCACCGTCGTGCGTCGATCCTGGATGTATGTCGGGATCGGAGCATGACATAATTAATCATTCATAGCTTCACTAGAATAAACATGGGTACAAGCAATGAAACATACTTCCACATTATGGTGCATATCAGAAAATTCATTTCATGAGAATCTCAAATCAATTTCATTACATATAAGATATCAAAAGTAAAAGTAATTATACGCACATTGAAAAAAATTCAATATTATTTGTTTGTTCTAGTGAGCAATGACATAAAAGAATTAGAAAATATTGTTAAATAACCAATAGAGCATCAAACAGTAATCTATATTTCCATAGTATGCTTCAACATTAAGTATAGAATAGTATATACACATAACTATTTTATAATTGACAACAGATTCAATCTCACGATAAATCTCACAGCCATATATATAAATATGAACATCAACCGTAAAGTAACTACACGTACCTACATAAAAGTTTAACATGTTCGCCATTTTGTCTCATGCTAAAAATCTCAATAATTTCACATGTGTAATCTCTAAGACGAAACCAAAATAAAAAATAAAAAAAACTCATGTTACTTAAAAATGATATACGTTCCCGGCCTTTTTTTTTTTTTCGCTTTTCTTCTTGTTTTTTTATTTTCTTCTTCCTTTACTTATTATATATATATATATATATATATATATATAGCACAAAATGCATATTAGATCAGGACTAATGGAAGTCAAAAGTATGAAGTGGTGAAAATACAATAATTCAAGTACTCACATGAAACAAATAATATGCAAATGCAAGTAATGTAATGTGGTAGTCTAGAAATGGAACCATTTCTTGATTAAGAGAAAAGATCAAATCGAATAATTCCGCTTGGCTTCTAGAGAGAATTATCGATACACCTAGATCTTAAATAATCAAATAATTCATTAGTTTTCCAGTAAGAAATTCTTATGCAAACACAAAGTCAATAATCTAGAATTATAAGTTAAATCACAAAATGTATAACAACTCATATGCCGACAATCTCATTTAAAATTTTGACAACTACTTAACAATGAAATTCGTTCCCTTTGCCTCAACAATGTCGAGACAACATGCATAAAGTAATTATGCATATACATGATTCATGAAACAATATTTTTTTGGGACATTTTGACACATCCCGACCCGGAATGTCCACTAAGACCCCAAATCGAGCTATGTTGGCCGACATCTGGAAGGTGACGAAGCCATAAAGTGTGATAGTGTACAAAATGTGAATAAATTAAAACCTAAAAGTGCTTAAGTACACGAGTGCGTGATGAGCAGGTCTGGACCCATTTCACGCTTGATACAGAGCATAGGTATAGTACAGTAAGGTAAGATAATGATTATACCATCATAAGAAGACATCTGTATGAAAAGTGCCACGAATCCTCATCGATATGGAACTCTGCTGCTAGAACCTGGAGGGGTGCAAAAATAGAAAATGTGAGTGAGTGAAACAAAACTTTTCAACCCAATTTCAATTACCAAAGGCAGTAACCCCTCGCCGTAACACCTATATAATTTCTCAGAAAATAACAGGCGTGACTATAACTCTAAAGTTTAACCAAAATAACCGTCTCGCAATTATGCCGTGTCAAATATCTCAACAAGAATAAGTAACCCAGGTGAAATAAATCAATATGAAATGGTATGTCAGCCAGATCCACCTATTATGGCCTGTACGGCTGAACCAATAGCTCATCAACATACTAGCCGGAGTTACCTCACGTGAACTGTATGGCTGAATCAATAGCTCATCAATCAATGCTAGCATATAAGTCAGGAGTCACTTATAGTGGCCTGTACGACTTATCCACATCTCATCAATCAAAGCTAGCATATAAGTCGGGAGTCACCTATAGTGACCTGTGCGACTTATCCACACATCTCATCAATCAAAGCTAGCATATAAGTCGGCAGTCACCTATAGTAACCTGTACGACTTATCTATATCTCATCAATCAAAGCTAGTCAATAGCTCAATAACATGCTAGCCAATAGCTCAATAAGTATACCTCCACACGAATCGGAACCACCTAAAGTGGTCTGTACAACAGGACTGGGTGTAAATAAATACACTCAAATGCTACGATCACATGAAGACTGTGCAAATAATCGCAGGTCACCTATGAGTAGAAATCACCTATTGTGGTCTGTACAACAGAAATGTGCACCTACCTTAGATCTAAGGTGAGCGTAAGGTGCGGGAGTTGAACATCACGTGAAGGACTGTGCCCTAGCCACGGACGGGAGCACTAACATCGGGGTGCAGGTTTATAAGCTCTAAATGCATCTAATATAACATGTACGACTCATGGGCAACCTGTACGACAAGGTCGAAGTTGCCTAAAACATAAATGTAGTCATACCATAACTCCATCATTTCAACTAATACTATAAACTCACCTGAACTTACCTATGTGTCCTGCGTTCACCTTTGCACTTCAAAGCATTCACAATAATTATGTGCAGATAATATACATATGCCATGATGCAATCTAATACTCAACCTAACATAATGTTTCCAAATGTGTATATATATATATATATATATATATATACACACACACAACATGGCATGAAATGCATAATCTATAACGCCCCACTTCCAAACTATTTATTTTCGGGAATAATTATCAGTGATAAGCCCAACTAGACACTAGTTTAATTAACTATCATTACTTACGTTTCCTTACTTTAATTTCTTGATTCTTCACACATTGATTTATGACCAACATTTAACCACCAAATCATAAGGTTAAGTCTCACATTTTCCACCAATGTCCCTCACATTGCTCAATTCCCCAAACAAGGTTATTGTCTCAATTATTTAGTCTCAATTATTATATGGATGCATCTACCGTCTCGTTAGACTGCCTACGTACCCTAAATAGGGATCAAGCCATTTGTAGTTCATTATAGTCCTCCAAAGCATTCACAATAATTATATGAAATATTCAATTTATAAACGTTTGTGGAGATGTCAATCTTATATATATATATATATATATATATATATATATATATATATATACACACACACGATAGAAAGGAAAAGACCCACTCACCTTAGGTCCGCGCTACAACTCCCAAGCATGAATATCAAGACGTCGCGAGCGATCCTCACCAAGAACAATTATTCAGTCACGTAAAACATATCTCAAGGACATTCTAGAATGATTTGAGATCCATTGACCAAAAGTCAACCGTCGGTCAAAGATCAATGGTAGGGTTCACAACCCTACGTAACTCAATCCGAAATATTCGCATCTCAGATTTCCGATCCATAACTTCCAAAGATCCACAACGTGCTTCTAAAACATCATACTAAAGTTTCATTATGATCCAACGGTTGGATCTCCGCCAATTGCCAATTCAAGTGACGGTCAACGTTTTATTTTACGAACTTACAAATCTAATTCAGGAAGATCCGTAAGTCAGATTCCCAATCCATAAGTTTCTAATATCCTCAAATATTGCATACCATAATGTATTAAAGTTTGATGACGATCCAACGGTCAAATCTTCAATTCATGCAAGGACCTCGTGATGGCCAACTAGGTGATCAACTACGAATTTTCATTAAAACATTAAAATTTCACTAAGCAAATGAAAAATATGGAATCGAGTTGTCAAAATTATCCTAAGATGGTCAAGTGGGGTCTCGGCCTACGCACCGCCACACTCGCCGCCGCGCGTGGTGGCTGGCCGCCATGATTCGCCAGAAAATTCAACTATCTCCAAAAATTCTCAAGTTTCACAAAAATGAAGATCTCAATGAGAGGAATAACTTTCATACCTGTGGCCAAGGTCAATTTGGCCGATAAACACCCCAAATTCCCCTAAATCCGTTTGAAACCCTATAATGGGTGAGCTTCGATTCTCATTCCTCGGTGTTCCAACACCCCTACAACTGGTTGGGTCTTGTTCCTGGGTCCAAGGGGAGTTGATTGAGGGTGATAGTGGGTAATGAAACTCATCGGAATAGTGAAATCGACTTCAAACACCTCCGGTGCTCCAGCACTGTTCTTGGTGATTTTGGACTTAAAAACCCACGAATTTGGGTGAAGATGGAAGAGGGAAGGTTGTGGAAGAGGTTTCAGGTGTTGTATGGTGATGATTCGACGAAAGAAATGGCAAAAATCGCTGGAATTTAGCTTGGGTGGCGCACGGGTGTACGGAAGGGAAAGCTAGGCTTTCCCCACTTTTTTTTTTTCTTTTCTTCTTTTCTCCTTTCTGATTGGTCAGCCCTTCATTTAATTGATTGGTCCCTTTTCTTCCCTTAAAAACTGATTGGCTTCCTTCCTACAAAATGGGAGCTCAAATTATTTAACTAACTTTAAATAATAAATTTCAAATGTCTGTAACTATACTGTTATAATTCAAACTCGCAAACGGCTTTCGCCTATGCATTCGTACCAACGAGTACTACGAGGATACGCTAAAAGAATAAGTCCCACATCTCTCAAACCGATAGTCAACGGAAGTCAAATTCCTTGTCTCTAGGGCATTTTCGTAAATTCACGCTTTTAAAATTAATAAAAACGTAAAATTAGAGACGGGTTGTCACACGTTTTGATATAGACGCCTCATTTTTTAATGTCGTAAACTAAACATCTATTCCTTTTACAAATTTGATTAAA